CCCCTGTACCACATTTTTAAAAAAAGTTTATTTATTGGGCGGCCCGGGTGGCTCAGTTTGTTAAGTGACCAACTTCAGCTCAGGTCATAACCCAGGGGTTCAAGCCCCTCATCGGGCTCTGTGGTGACAGCTCAGAGCCTAAGCCTACTTTGGATTCTCTCTCTCTCTCTCTCTCTGTTTCTCTGCCCCTCCCCTGCTCATGCTCTGTCTCTCTCAAAAGTAAATAAAACTTTAAAAAACATTTACTTTGAGAGGGAGAGAGAGAGAGAGAGCCTAGGGAGGGGCAGAGAGCAAAGAAGAAAGAGAATCCCAAGCAGGCTCCGTGCTGTCATCTAGGAATTCCATGCAGGGCTCTGACTCACAAAATGTGAGATCATGACCTGAGCCAAAACCAAGAGTTGGATGTTTAACTGACTGAGCCACCCAAGCGCCCCTATACCATCTATTATTCTTTTATTGCTCCTTTAGACACATGGAGTAGATGCCAGTTATCACATGAGGGAAAAATCAGGCACGCAGATTAGTTTAGTTCCACTTCTGGGTGCTTTTGCTCTGAACCATACTTATCAAGATGACATTCTTCTACTGCATATATGAATTATAAATTATACTAGATTATAAGGTTTTAAAGATGTGTGTAGCTAAGTGCTATAATGCTACCCCAAATAGCTGCCTGAATGAAGACATGTACTTTAATATAACACTTTAAAAAGTGTATTTTGTGAGATGGACTGTCTATTTTATGTACAATTACAAATCACTTTTATTTTTTCAGACTGTAAAGTAATTTTGAATACAGACTAATATTGGGAAAATAGTGAATAATGTTAAATTGTAGGGCAAATTCAGAAAGCCATGCTGTGATTTGAGCAACTATGCCTTCTTGTTTAAAATGCTGGTTTCTTGGGGCGCCTGGGTGGCGCAGTCGGTTAAGCGTCCGACTTCAGCCAGGTCACGATCTCCCGGTCCGTGAGTTCGAGCCCCGCGTCGGGCTCTGGGCTGATGGCTCAGAGCCTGGAGCCTGTTTCTGATTCTGTGTCTCCCTCTCTCTCTGCCCCTCCCCCGTTCATGCTCTGTCTCTCTCTGTCCCAAAAATAAATAAACGTTGAATAAAATGCTGGTTTCTTATGTAGTATGGAACAATTCTTATTTCCTCTGAAACATTGATTATGCATATATTTGGGGGGGGAGGTTTTTTGTTTTTTTTTTTGTTTTAGTTTTAGCATCACGAATAATTCCAGGTTGGAATTAGATATCATGTTTTGAGGACAGGAAAAAGCTTGCACATTGTATTGGAATTTTGATTTATTATATAATTATATAATTTAATATATATGATGTACTCTAATATTGTAATTTGGGCCTTAAAAATAATTTTCTACTTTGAAATTTCTCACCAATGACTCCTTCATTCACCTCTAGAACCATCAGCACTGGTTCCAACTCATTGGCAAGTGAACCAAATCTTATCTATTTCTCTCCCTGAATTGTGATCAGAGTAATTTTAAATACTTGCCTTGCAGAGGAAATAAACTCCTGCATTCTTAGGGAAAACTGTTCAACTGAAAGATCTGACAATGTAATTTTCAAATAAGTGTAAAGAGTTGATGACTTAAATGAATGTGAATTCTTATTTACCTTTTACTTTGAGCTTGGCTACTATTTTCCATTAATAGCGTTTGGTACGTTAATTGCTTCCTTCAAGCTCCTGTCAGCTTTCTAGTAGGTAAGTGATACTCCCTCAAACCCCACTTTGGTATGCATTTGAAGAAACATAAAGGGTCAATCTAGGTTTTCCTAAATCTATCATTTGAGGATATGAGTTTATTAATTGCTTTATGTTTATATATCATTTCTGACTTTTAACCAAAAATATAATGAATTCAAGATAGTCATTATATGTCTAGATTAGTTGGGCATATTAGAGACTTTATCTTCCATCATAGAAACTGAATATCCCCAAAGAAAGAAAGAAAGAAAGAAAGAAGAAATAAAAATGTCTTCATAGTGGGTATGATCTTATATATGGAAAAATTCTAAGGAATCTCTAAAAATCTATGATTAATAAGTGAGTTTAGCAAAGTCACAAAATACAAGGCTAAAATTCAAAAATCAATTTTATCTCCATTCTAGAAACAATCAGAAACAAATTTAAAAATCCATACCACTTACAATAACTTGAAAAAGCATGAATAGAGGTAAATTTAACAAACTATAGCCACAACCTTACACTGAGCACTGGAGCGTATTACTGAAAGAAAGTAAAGAAAACCTAAATAAATACAGACATGCACCATCTTCATGGATCAGCTCAATATTAGGATGTCAGTTTTCCACAAATGGATCTATAGATTCAAAGCAATCCCAAATCAAACATCAGTGGGCTTTTAAAAGAAATTGATAAGCTGACTATAACATTTATATTAAAATGCAGATAACTTATAAGAGTAGTCAAAATAATTTGGGAAAAGATACACAGAGTTGGAAAATTCACACCACCTAGTTTCAAGATTTACTATACAGTAATCGAGGCAGTGTGGTATTGGCACAAGGATAAATACACCAATAGAATAGATTGGAAAAGTCCAAAAATCAGCCCACAGGTATATAGTCAACTGATTTTCAACAAATGTGCTGAAGTAATTCAGTGGCAGTATTGAATAGTTTTTTCAACAAATGGTGTTAAAACAGCTGGTTATCTATTTGGAAAATAATGAAACTCTACCTTTATCGAATATCATGCATGGAAATTAATTTGAAAGATAATAAAGACATAAGATAAAATCAAAACATTAACACTTCTAGAAGAAAAGAAAAATAGGAAAAATCTTAGCTATCTTAAATGAGGCAAAGATTTCTGAGGAAACAAAAGGGACAAATCTTTTAAAAAATGATAAATTGGACTTCCTTGAAAGACACAATTAAGAAAATTAAGAGGTAAACCACAGATTGGGAGAAGATAATAAACCAGACAGACAGATATACATGCATTATTTGTATGTATCTATGTGTATTTGTTATTTAGAGTATAGATAGATGAGGATATGCATCCAGAATATATAAGGAACCATTACAGCTCAATAGTAAAAAGCCAGACAACCAGTTTTTTTTTTTTAATTGGCAAAAGATTTGAAAAGGTATTTCACTGGAAAAGATATATGAATGGTCAATAAGTGCATGAAAAGATACTCACATTATAATTGGTCATCAAAGCATTGGAAATTAAAACCATTATAAGGTTTAAAGTGTAAGGTTAAAAGACGAAACTAAGTGTTGATGAGGATGTAGAGCAACTGTAATTTTCATGCTTTGCTAGTAGGAATATAAAATGGTGCCACAACTTCGAAAACGCATTTAGCTATTTCTTTAAAAGCTGAGCATATACTACTATACAACATTAATTCCACTATTAGTTATTTGTCTAAGGGAGATGAAAATCCACGTCCCCACAAAGGTTTGCACACAAATGTCTACACTAACTTTGCCCATAATATCCAAAATGCAACTCGACTATCCATCAATAGAAGAATAGGTAAGCCAAATGTAGTACATCTGGTACCAGGAATAATAAAAAGGAATGAATTACTGATACTTGAAACAGCATGGATAAGTCTCCAAAATATTATGGGGAGCCAAAGAAGTGAGACACTCTGTGATTCCATTTTTATGAAACTATAGAAAAAACAAATCTAATATGGGCCCAGGGTGAGGAGGATTTACCAGAAAAGGAAATGGGATATTTTAGGTTGATAGACATTTTCTATATCTTTGTTGATGTGGTGATTACAGTTTTATACGTTAGTCAGACTTATCAAATTGCACCTTTAAAGTAGATGTATTTTATTATGTGTAAATTATAGGATGAATAAGGATGGAAATTAGAGAAGTTACAAATTCTACCTACAGTTGATCCCCTAGGAAAAAAAGTCAAGTGATAAATGAGCACCTGAGCAAGATTTCAGAATCCTGTTTGAAACTACATAAAAATACTGCTATAAAGGCAATTACTAACATCTAAGTATAAAAATTTTGACTTTTAGTGCATTTGTACGGAGAATGGTGGTATATTTCATTTAAACTTATGATCAAACATAGCAATCTATTGTAATCAGAGGAAAGCATCAGTTCTAAGTATAGAAACAAGATTAAACAAAGAGACACATCCAAAATAATGAAATTAAATGATATATAGCAACTAAATCTAAATCATGTGTACTACTCATATATTTTTAGAAAAATAGCCATATATTAGTGTGAAAAGATGTAAAGAAGTGAATATGAATTTGTTGAGCCAAACACATAGTATTGATAAGGATGTATCATAAGTAACTGTAGCTTGCGATAAGTAAATGACTTCCCTTCTTTTTACCTTATACTTTTTTTCTTACAGTAATTAATATGAACAGATATTTCCTTTGTCCCTTTATTTCTTGAAACCACACCCTTCCTCATAGCGCCTCTTTCTCCAAAAGTGAATTTTCAAATTTATTACCCCTCCTTTAGTTTTTCTTTTCTTTCCCCTTCTTTTTTGTATCTCCAAAGTTATAGTAACTTAGCAAAAGTTAATGCCCCTCTTCACTTACCCACCTAAGGCATGTTTTTGAAGCAGTTTTTGCATTGTAAAGAGGACAGTATTGTGGAAATGATTCTCAAGTCCAATTGCATGGGAAATTATGAGTTTGCTTCCACTTTGTAGGGCATCAAAAATGTATGAAGTACTGTAGAATGGATTACATCTCTTTTGTCTTCTACCAAAGTAATTTGTTTATTGTCCTTTACCTTTCCCCTTTCTTTTCCTTTGGGCTGTGTCTGGAGTAACCTGTTCAGTTGCTCAGCGAACCTCCCCTTCCCGCCCAGGCATACCATTTAGAGTGCCTTGTGATATTATGTTCTTGAGCCTTGATGGACCATGATGAACTATCAAGCTTAGTTACTTTTTCTTAGCGCTCCTTTCTGCCTGGAGAGTCTTACTGTATTAGTCTCCTTTCACCTTCCTACAGATTTGTTATTGGGCGAGAAAAGCCAGGACAAGTGAGTGAGGTTGCCCAGTTGATAAGCCAGACGCTGGAACAAGAAAGGCGCCAGAGAGAGCTGCTGGAACAGCACTATGCCCAGTACGACGCCGACGATGACGAGGTAAGCGGTGCTTGCAAACATCCTTCCTGCCTTTCTTCCCACCGTGTTCCTACTTTACAAAACTCTTTTCCTGGAAAAAGTAGGATAGGTTCTTTGCAGTTTCTCAAGGAGAACGTGTCTACATTCAACTCCACAGAAAAGAAATATTACTTACATTTGTTATTAACTGATGAATCAAGTAATGGTATCCTATTTACAGCATGAAGACTTTGGAGTCAAGGAAGTCCTCTTTGTGCTATTAAAAGAAATTCACTGAAACAAAAAAGAGCGAAAAAACCAAGATGCGAATGGTAGCTGTCTTTATTGTTGGAATTTGGTGATGTTCTCTCTCTGCTTTGTATTTTTTTTTATTTCCCCCCCAATTTTCTACAGTGAGTTTGTAATGCTTTTTGAAAAAAAAATGAGTAAACATTTTGATTGAAAAAAGACACACGCATACATACACAAACATACACAGGAAAGTACTCAAAAATGCTGAGTGTTTTCAGGTTTCTTTTTTCCAGGAGAAGAAAGGTCTTTGGATCTGCTCACTGTGATTTGTGCTAACATAATGCAGAACAAAGCCTTTCCACCAGCATATATTCCTTAGAGTAGATACATATTGGAATAATTTTGCATCCTGCTCTCTGTAGAAGATCAAGTAAATGAATAGAAGCTAACCCCCAAGTGAAAATGGCTCTCTGGAACCCTTGTGCGTTATAATGTAATGCAGATGCTGGTCTATTTCTAATGTAAATGCCAAATGTACATTGATATAATGGGACAACATGCTTTATTATAAACATGTTTAAACATGCATGTGTTTCATATTGGCATGTCAAAAAAAATCCATCAATAATTTAATCATAGTATTTCATACTCCATAAACATAGTAAATATTCAGGTAAAACATATATTATTTATACCAGCTGATGTAAGGACAGTGCAACTTCTTATATTCAACCTCTGCTCATCTGAATATATTCTTTTTCCAGAGTTTTTTTGTTTTTTTTTTTTTTTTGGTTTCTAGCCAGGACATAGTGAAGATTAATAAACAGGCATTGAAATTTTACGTATTTTTAGTCTGGAATGTTTTAACCCAAATGTATATTAGTTTTTTATATGAGTGTAATTTAATGAGGATGTATTCTCCATTTATTATAATAGAAAAGTAAAAGTGGTGCATCAGTTAACTTTTGACCAAAGAATAAACATTACAAAGTCTTCATGTGAATGAATTAGTCTCTTAGAATCTTATATAGTTGATTTAACTTTTCACTTTCAGAGTGCATTTGAAATGGCAAGTATTTTTTTTTATTCTGAGATATTACATATGAAAATGTTATTTTGGATTTAAAAATTAAAAAGCAAAAAAACCAATTTTGTCAGATATTTAAATTTTCATCTTACCTATTAGTCTTCAGTTCTCTGTGCTAGTGTTTTGTGTTTTATCAGAGACACTGATTTGGTTTGGCTGCAAGCCTGTTTTAGGATTGTAGAATCATTCTCTGCAGCTTTGGTTTTTACCTGCTCATTCTGCTAGAAAGAATTTGGAGGTGAGGTTCGGGGCAGTTCTGATGACATCAAGCTGGGGAAGACGAGGAAGCCAGGCTTCCCCAGGCTGTGGGCCTCAGTATCTTCGGCTTTAAGAGATTGGGCTAAAATTCTGAATTCTTTCTAGCTTTTACTGGTCCATGAATCTGTGAAATAAAACATCAAGTCTAACAAGGAAAGAGGTAAAATAAGATAGCTCTTTAAGGCTCTCCTAGTGAAAATTTTAGATCATGTGCTACATATTACATACTTCCAGTTATTTTGAGGAACTGATTCCATTCAGCCCCAAAAGTTTTCAACTCAGGCCCCTAAAGCTGTTTGCTTGATGTTAGATTTTCTCCAATTTGAGTAAATGCAAAATGAGTGTTTGTTACTCAACTTTTATACCTAAGAGCACATCATAAAGATTTTTTTTTGTTTGCCTAGTTTTTTTTTTAAAGAAAGCAAAGCTGATTGTCACCTGAGCAGGTATTTTTCAGGACTAAGGAAGGTAAATAAATATTCAGTGCCTGGCACTTTGCAAGGTGCATTTCCCTGGATGATTTCATATAATCTTTACAGCACACAGAAGAGACTTTTTTTTTCTAAAAATGAGGCAAACAAAGCAAATGAGGCTTTTTCTAGTCATACAGCCAGTAGTTGGCAGATTTAGTATGGGAATAGAGTCTTCCTGTCTCCAAAGTTGGGACTTTTTACAACACTTTGCTGTTTTTGAATGGAGTGGGCTGATGGGTCTGTCTTTGTTCAGGCACACACAGAATAACTGGGGAACAAGAGATGTTGGAAAGAGGATTCCTGTTTCGAGTGATGGAGTTTCTTGTAATACTTAGGTTATGTGATTCTTTATTCCGTATTTCTAATAATGGGGGAATCAAGTGCTTGGAGAATTAATCTTATTCTAGGTAGATAATCCCTAAGTATCCTGTGAAGACAGGACTTTAGAGAAGAATAATTGAGTATATGATTTTGTTTTTTAAATTAGAGTTTACCTCTAGGTTAAACTTTTTCTTTTGTCTTCAAGTTGTAGAAATAGAAATCAGATGCTTGCTACTATGTTATTCCAAGTAACCTTCACTTTACTGAAAAGGTCAAGGAGTCTTTTTCTTTGTCTCTTTCTCATGCTCCTCTCTGACTTATAATTCTCCCTTTCTTGTGTGTTGCCAAAACATGCTCAGTTAAAACCAACTGTTAATTTTCTGTGCATAGGAGAAATGAAGCTGTACAAATAATGAAAATCCACTCTTGCGTAAATATTTTATCTCCTTGATTTAATTTTTTTACTAATAGTACCAAATAGTGTTAAATCAATTTAAGTGGTATGCCCCTATTTTTTATTTACTCTCTCCCTCTTTGTTAATGAATAGTAAAATGGCCAACAGACATAATGAAGGTGAGAAGGACCAATATTGGTTATCCAGTGGGTAAATGGTCCTTGAATAACTGAGTTAATTTTATATGTAATTGAACAATGTATTGATTTACACATCATTGTTAATTCTGAATTGTGTAATCAATCACTTGGCTTCTCACTTTTCTTATCATTTATGGAATCATCTTGTGATTTCAAAGTTAGAATAATTTTTATTTCACAATATCCCCTGTGACATTCCCTGGGCCAGCCAGGAAAACCTCTAATTAAATGCAGGACAACCAAGTTCATCCAACTAATTTCCAGAGCCAGCGCTTAGATCAGCATTGTCTACTGAAGGATAGATAGCTTCTGGTTTGGGTCAAATCATCCAAGGTTGATTCTAACTTGGAACTTGTCACATTGACAGAGGGGAGTTGCTTGCTTGAATTGCCTATGGGGAAAACATTGCAATGTGAGAAATATATCCTGAAATTGTAAAAGTACAGTAGTTCTCTATCAAAACCATATTTAGGATTAAGAATACCTCATCATGTATAGTGTGTGCTTGCATATAGCTGTTTTAATGCTTTAGGAAATTATAAGTGGTAATTCAGCAGAATTCAAAATTTATAGATAATTCCCAAACTTTATTGAAATCTCTGCTCTTTATGATTTTTTCCCGAATATTTAAACCAGAAGAGTTTAAGCAAACAACCAAATCAATTTTAATTTACATTCCTGTTTCTGGTTACTCTCTGTTAAACATTGTGATAAAAAAAATTAATAAATAAAAAGGGCTCTGCCTGAAGAGCAGAGAAGAGTAAAAGCCTGAAGAGTAAAGGGCAGGATCCTGTAAAGAAGAGGAAGATTAAATCTGAATAATTGAAATATAGATCTGAATATATCTGTAATTAGCAACTGCATTTCTGAATAATAGAATTATTGTTCATTTCTTTTTCTTTCTTTCTTTCTTTAACAATCTGGAAGGTAACGATGGAGGATTTCAGTAAGCCCCTCACACAGTCAGCACTATCCCACGAAATTCTGGGGGTATGGTAAATTTTTCAACTAGATTTTAATTTTCAATAACAAATTTAATCTCCTGTCATACTCCACAACTATCAATGTCTAGCCTTTCAATGGTGGGATGATGTAATTTTGATATATGTTTTGTGTAACATGGGTCATGTATGTAAATTGTAGGTAGATGTTTCTATCCAAGATCACTATGCAATGTGAAATACAGTTGGGCTCAGACTAGAAATGAAGTATGAACTGGTGCTGTACCACTTTTTTGAATTAAGAAATGCCTATGGTCGTTCACATTCAAATAAACTATTTTACATGCACTTTGCAATTATATGATTATTTTGGTTTGCTTCTTTAAATATATTCTTAAAATATTATGTTTATTACATTTTAAAATCTTAGATTATAGGTGTTATTTTCAGAGTCTCTTCGGGCAGTAGTTTATAACAAGGTTAATCATCACTCTAGAAACCGAGGCTCCTTCTCTTAAAGCATAATTTAATCTCACTTCCATAATTTTTTTCATTACTGGAATTAATATCATTATAGCTATATCATGAGAACAGTAGTTTAGTTTTTAGAATCTTTTAAAGTACTGAATATGATTTAGAGCAGCTGCCTACATGGATATGCATTTTTATTGCTTGTGTTAACATTAATAACATTAATAATTAGAGACAGAAATATAGTAGAAGCTATGGTTTGCATAAGTGTTGAATGATTTATAAGAATATAATTTTTAGGTGAAAAGTATTACAGGGATAACATTAAATTTGACTCCTGCTGTTTGCTGTTCCTGGTTGGAAACAGCTTATGTTGTGTGAAAAAGAGATTGCAGTTACTATGGATGGCCTTTTAATAATGTGGATTGAGTTTATACTGTTCTTAATGTTGAGAACCTATGAGTGGAGGGCATTCTCTCAGTTCTCAAACGTTTGTGTTATAGCAGGCACCAGAACTTCAGTGTTTTTTCTGTCCTTTATCATTAGGCTGCTCTCTTTAATAGGGAAAAAGCCTTCTTTAATTTTTGTTGTCAACTGTTTTAGAACACTGTGGCTGAATTGCAAGGAGTGTCTGGCAACTGCAA